TCCAGGTGACGGGATTGTTGAGTTCTCAGGACTTCCCGAGGTGTTCCAAAGTCAGGGGAGCGGTGATGCGTTCGATTTTGAGGTGTTTCACACTGTCCAGGAGGCCGATTGAGGGAAAGGAGAAAGTGATGGGGAATGAAGCTTCCACCTGGTCCTGGAAGTGGATTCGGTTTCTAGGATGTCGGCTCGCGCTTTAAAGTCAGGAGGAAGTATTGCAGATGATCAGAAACATGATAGAACGTACTGGAAGGAATGTTTCATGAGTCGAGGGAAATCTGCTTTGACAGACACAGTAGTTCCGCGGGGTTGGCCTGCGTGGCTGGGTAACTGGCAGGCCTCTGCGCGCGGTTCTTCTCCCCGCCCCCAGCCCCACGCTGGCACAGGCATCTGCGGCCAAGTGCTTCGTCCCTGCAGCCCCAAAATACAGGGGCTGCAGTCGCCAGGGCGGGAAGGCAAAGGCAGGCTCTCCAAGGACCACCCCCAAATGGGACAGCCAGGCTGTCCTGTGACGGAAAGGGGGCGGGGGGGATGCGTCATTCTCTTTGCATCCCGGTTGCATTTTCACATCAGAGCCCACCAGACACCACCCTGAAAACACCAGCGGAGGGGGAGCCGGGAGAGACGGACGCCTGAACTGCGGCGGGCGCATTCGACTCCTGACCAGGGAACGGTCCCCGCCGCTTGCCGTCTGATAAGGGATATTATCTCGGTAATAAAAGGCAATTGAGAATCTAAATGAAAAATCTAATGCTTTTCATGCTGATTTATTTTAGATTAGAGAAAGTTAAGCCAGATGTAAACATGAGGAGATGAGGCATGGAGACGGAGTCACGGCGGAGTCGTAAATCTCCGTTCTGAGCGATTATAGGTGCGGGGTTGCATTCGCCAGAAAATACACTGTCTGACATTAATTACTGTTGCAGAAGAGAGTTCAGAGGTTGAATACCAACACGCAGCTCAATCACGCGTCTAGATCAGCCGTGGAAAGCGTCGCGCGCTCCGAGGCAGGCTGTGCTCACCGGGCAGCCGGCAGCCCCGCGCCAGGATGCTGCCCGCCTGGGGGAGAAGCCGCGGGGGAGCTTTTTTGCTGCGAGGGCCACTGGGTTATTTATAGCAGCATCCGTGGGCCGTACAAAGTTATCAGCTTGAACATGAGCCGGCTGCAGATTAATCGAGTTTTGAGTCCCGCCTGCAGTGGCCTTGGCTAAGCTGGACCAAATGATTTCACAGGCCTGATACGGCCCACGGGCTGGACGCTCCCCACGCCTGGCCGAGAGGAATGCCTGCCCCCACCCCAGGAGAGGCATCGGATGCTGAAGAGAGAGCGCCCTCTTTCCTCTAAACTCTGACACGGTCTCTCCTTATCCTAAAGAAGAGATCCGGTCCCAAGCCCACCTCTGGCCTTTGGCTCCTTGGGCTTCGGGTCTCTGGGATCTGCCACGTGGGAGTCCAGAGGCAGATCTGGGGTGGAGCGGGGAGGGGGGAGGCTGGCAGTAGGGGTCTGTGGAGGCCTGGAAGTGTTCACTGTCTTTCCCTCTCTCGTTTTTCCGGCGTTTTATGGCATCTCAGTGTTTCCCAGAGCGCAGGAGCCATCTGTAACCACCCAACACCTCTACACACACACACACATGCACACACGCACATACACATGCGCACACGCACACACACATGCGCACACGCACGCTGCATTCTGATGGGAGAAGGGCTATCCAGGCACTTGGGTGCAGAGCTCAAGAGCAGAAGTGTCTGAATGCTGCTGGCTCTGAGGCCTGGAGAGAGCACCCCACCTCCCCACCCCAGCGCCCCTAACTTTACAGTGCAGGGGGCTTCCTGCGGCAGGGCTTCCTGTGGGGCACATGGGACCCTGGCCCGCGGCCTGGTGTGGAGTCTGCCTTCAGTGTCCGTGGTTCTGACCTGCGCCCTCCATCCCACATTCTGGGACCAGTATGATTGCACGACAGGGTCCTTAGATTCAAGAAGCCACTGCTACAGCATCCCCAGCAGGACGCAAGGTGGCCGCTGTCGTTAAGCTCCCTAATGTGTGCGACTCCAGAATACCTGGGACACGGTATTATTATAAGTAGCCCTGGGTTAGCTCGGGTGACGTTCTGCTGTCAGATTCGTTTGCTACAAACCCGAGGGGAAGCGCTCAGGTGCTAGAGCTCCCCACACTGCAGACGGCAGATAGAGGACGGTGGATCCGTGAGGGACGGCAGATAGGGGACGGTGGATCCGTGAGGGACGGCAGATAGGGGACGGTGGATCCGTGAGGGACGGCAGATAGGGGACGGTGGATCCGTGAGGGTGCTCACGTGTCTTGGAGGCCGTCAGGAAGGCCCCATTCCCCGCCCTCGTCGCGTGGTTTTGGTCAGCCAGTTTCCCTCTGCTAACTGCAGCCTGGAGACTTCAAGGCCTCGAGATAGGATCTGGGAAGGACTGAGTTAGGAGTCACCAGTGCTGGTCATTCCTGATGTGCTCACAGCTGCCCGGCCTCCTGCTGAGGGGAAGGAGTTGGGGCCGGGTCAGCTCCTGCCACTCCCAGGAGACCTGCATCTACCTGTAGGGCAGGGCAGGGGGGATCTGAGCACTGCAGGCCACGCCTCCTCTAACCTTGCCTGGTTAGAGGCAAGGTTCCAGGCCTGCACAGACCCCTACTGCCCTCCCCTGCCCTCCCCTCCCCTCCCCTCCCTTCCCCTCCAACCCCTCCCTTCCCCTCCTCTTCCTCTTCCCCTCCCCTCCCCCCTTCCTCCTGCTTTCCAAGGTGCGTTAGCAGAGCTGGGTCAGAAGTCCAGCTGTTGACCCTCTCCTAAGAGCGAGGACCCCATTGACAAGCGCAGCAAGCGTGATTAGATTTGCATAGGGGTTGTCGTCTCGGGGAGAAGCAGTCCTCCCTCGTGGGCTCACAGGGGTTCGTGTGTGTTTGCAAGCCGAGGCGCGTGCTCTGAAGGGAACAAACTGCTTCTCGTGAATCTGAAAGCTGGCCTGGTTTTGAAGGTGGTGTTGGTCACAGGAGCTGAGACCCACAGGAAGCCCAGGGAAGCATGTCATGCAGTTGTGGCACCATGTGCAAAGGCCCTGTGGCATGTCAGAGTGTGTGCAGAGCAGTGGGGGGCTCCACTCTTGGGAGGCAGAGCCAGAGCCCCTGACACTTGGCCCGAGGACAACGGAAGCGTTGCTCTTTTGCATGGAGGGAGCACGTGAGTGACCCAAGTCTTCCCAGGACGTCATCGTTGTACGGAGACCTGGAGTCGGTTGATTTGAAGGAGGTCCCTGATGCACCTTGTTCTTGGGAAACCTTGGAGCAGCAGTGCCTAGCGCCTGCAGAGAGGGTGGCTCCAGGCTTTGGGGAAGCCAAGCATCTGCAGAGGGCTGGGGCCACTACCTGCTTGCAATCCACTGAGAGAGAGGGAGAGGGGTGGGGGAGGAGGGAGGGGAGAGTGGGGGAGGGAGGGGGAGAGGAAGGAGGAGAACCCAGGAGGAAGCAGCTTGGGAGTTCCCTGGGCCGGAGTTTCCCCGCCCCCTCCCCCTCCCCCTCCGAGAGGGCTTCAAGGCTGGCCTGCTCCTCAGGGGTTCTGTCTGCTGCATTGGGGATGGAAGCAATTTTCCAGCCCAGGCCCAAGGTTGTGGCACTTTTATTTTCTCCTTGAAAACTTTCCATGTACTCTCCGGTATTCCCTGGGATGTGTCCGTGCTAAGTCTGACAAAGGACATTTAGCAGTTCCATGGCTGTGTAAGGATTGTTAGTTACAGTCAAATAGCCAAATAACAAGGCTTTATTTAGAGGTTTCTTCAAAAGGCACAGTCGCAGAGAGACAGATTCTTCCATCCCCTGGTTCACTCCCCAAATGACTACAAGGGTCAGGGCTGGGCCAGGCCAAACCAGGAGCCAGGAACTGCGTCTGGGTCTCCCATGTGGGTGGCAGGGGCGCAAGTACTTGGGCCATCTTCTGTAACATTCCCGAGGGTATTAGCAGGGAGCTGGATCCAAAGCGGAGCAGCCAGGTCTTGAACCGGTGCTGGTACCAGATGCCGGTGTCTGGAGCTGCAGCTTAATCCGCTGGGCCACAACGCCAGCCCCCTGAGACTTAGCAGTAATGGCCACAGCAGCAGTATCTGCAGTTGATGACACTGTGGGTCATGGACAGGGCAGGGCAGGGCCAGGGAGTGGCTGTCAGCTCCCGGCTTGCAGTCCACCCCAGCCTGCATCTCACCCCTCCTGCCTCTCCCCGGGGGAGAGGGCGGTCAGGCTCCTCCTCGGGACAAAGGGTGTTGGTGCAGCTTCCCTGGAACTGGGTGCACAAAAGCACCAAGAGGCACCGAGAGTTCTCTGGGCCCCACGAAGCTTGGCTTCTCCTTGAGCCAGGGCCTCCCCCAGGGTCCAGGAAGGCAGCTCCATGAACGCAGCCAGAGTGTGGGGGAAGCCAGGCAGCGGATCTGCCCGGGGACAGTGCGGAAGGAGCAGCCCTGGGATGCAGTGAGACGCGCTGGGCTCTCCATGTGCTGACGTCAGCCTGCAGGCTCTCTGCGTCCACTCACAGAGGAACCCTTGGCACGGAGAGCTGGCATAATGACCGTCCTTGCACGCAGCTGAATACTTTCATGTGTATTTGTCTCATTTTCATCTGGCCTTACAGGTTAATTCCTGGATTTGATTGCTCACAGCTAATCAATTTGTCAATATTTATTGAACATCCAATTTCAGCTCCGGGCCCGTCCAGTGCCGTGATGGGCCAGGGAAGACTTATTCTTTGCTAACGAAATCCAGGCTGGCTGATGTGTTTCCCTCCCTCCCCTCCCTCGTTCACCAGCAGAGTTAACGCGCCGGGGGGGGGGGGGGAGGGCATGGAGTTAAACACTCATGCCATCTGGAGCCCTTTGCTGGGGAAATGGAGAGTCCAGGGATGGATGTTCCTGATTTTGAGAAACAGCGTGCATTATTGAAGACGTTATACCTGCACATAAAAATGCAGAACTGGGAAAGTTTCCTGTTTCTTTTCTAGATCCAGAGTGGACTCCTCGCGCCTGGCACAGCTCTCCCTTCCCGAGGAAGAAATGAGATCCTTTCAAACGCAGGTAACCAGGTGGGCTCCGTTGCACGGCTCCGCTGTCCAGCCTTGGCCTCTCTCTCCTGTGTGCTCCTTCTAACAATGAAATGCACTTTGGAACCAGGGAGATGACAGCTCCCTGGTCTTTCAGGATCTGAAGCTGATTGAATGTCTAGGCTCCAGGCATTTAGTTTCCTAGCAGTTGCTGGAAAAGCAAATGTTGCTAAAGAAACATTGGTGGCCCCTGGTGGTACCTGTGGATCGTAGGTGGCTGCACATGGCTGAGTGTGCAGCTGCTCGGGGCAGGGCTCCCCCAGGCCTGAGTAATGGACAGACAGGGAATAATCTAGAACAGGGTGAGTGCCTCGTAGTGGTATCTGTGTGTTCCTAAAGCATTTTTTATGAAGTTTCAATTCATAGCCACCAGGTTGTCAAAACACTAGGTAAGGTGGTTACAATTCATAGCGCTTGCTAAGTATGGTAACATCGGCGGTGTGACCACAAACTTCCCCCACCTGTAGAAGAAGTCATCGAGGTTCAGGTCAGACGTCTGATGACATTGTAATAAGACTCCAGGGCTAACAGATTACGTCCACGCAGAGGCTGCGGCACACGAACATTCTAGAACCATGTTCTAACATAGCACGTGTCTGTTTCTAATCTTCATTTGAACTCTAATTCATAAATGTGGTAGATGTGCTGCCATAGAATAAAAATACGTATGTGCAGGCTTGCCTGTGTGTGTGTGTGTGTGTGTGTGTGTAGTGTATGTACAAGGGAACTTCAGAAAGTTTATGGAAAATGGGATTCAAAGGTAAGTTTATTTTGGTGCCAAGAACTTCAAAATTCAGGCATACCAGAGGTCCTCAAAAAAGGCATGGAAAAAATGTATTATGAAAAAAGCATGCATGGGCTCCAAAAATATCTTGGACCCAAATAAACTTATCGAATTCCATTGAATCCCATCTCTGCCCTGGCTTTTGGAAGTCTGCTGGAATGGGGATGCACACTCAGAACTGTGGCTTCCCTTTCTGTTCCCCCACCACTGGTCTGTGCCAAGCACGGACAACCCAAGGCAGAAGCGTCACTGAGAAGCAGCTCAGTCCATCCTCTCCGGAAGCCCCCAGAGCCTGGCTTGCGGCTGATGCTTTGGCAGTGGGGACCCTTTGAAAACCCAGCCCGGAAAGTCCCTGTGTAAGCATGTGAATCCAGTGACAGATGCTTCTGCGGCCTGCACAGCAAAGCAGGCCTGGGAGACACAGGTGGCCCCCTGAGCTCCGCAGGGAGTTTGGGAACATTGACAAGACTGCCACCTCTTCCCGGAACACTCAGTGACTGCGGTCATGCGTAGTCAGAACTGGTGGCTCCATTGCACATGGGTGGGCTTTCTCAGGACTGGGGCAGCACAAAGCGGGCCCCGTTAAGCACTTCCACGGGGAAGGGTGCTCTGCTGTCGCTTGACTTAGGAACCAAGTGGTTGGTGGTCCTGGCCACACTGCAGGAAATGTGCCCACGCATCTCTGGGTGGGGAAGGAGACATAACTCCGGGCTTTCTCTCTTGTTATAAATCTGTCGACCACGTCCAGGCACTGAGTATGGAGGAGCATGTTCAAGGCAGCCTCATGGCCTGGGAATTCTGGTGGAACCAAGGGTTCACCTTGGTGGGCACCATGCTTCCTGCGCTCACGCTCCCAGGGTCCCTCTGGGCATTTGTTGCCAGTGGAAAGACAGATTTTGTCTGAGCTCCTGCAGCGGGAGAGAGACTTTCAGAGAGAGCTGAGCTCCGCACTGCATTCAGGGGGGCAGCTGGGGCTTCAGCCAAGAGGTGGGGGCGGGGGCTGGGTGGATGGAGAAGGACCAGGAGGAAGCTGTGGCTCCCAGGGAGGGAGACAGGAGCTTGATGAGTTGTCACGGGATGCAGGAGTTTCCCCAGCCTGGCTGGGACCCAGGGGACCGAGTTTTAGATTAAACTCAGGGCTGCAAGGTCTAAAAGAATGGAAACCAGGGAACTTCACGGATAAAAGAGCCCCTGGGCTACAGAGAGTTTGGAAACTGCCAGGGCTCCAGGAGCCTGGCAGCCTGGGCGCGAGTGCTTTCTCCTGGAGCACACGGGCCCGGCCCCAGCTGCTGCCCTCGTCTTCAAGCGTTAAGCACTCGGCTTTTGAGGGCCCGGGCCTGTCTGGCTGGCTGGCAGGGCAGTTCTCCCAGAAGGAATCCACGGGCCCTGCAGACGTCCGCCTGCAGGATCTCATGTTGGGGAAGGACCAGAGAATACGTCAGGCAGTTCTCTGGGAGATCTGATGTTGAACCCCACCTCTCCATTCCCCTGCAGGAGGTGGGGTGGCTTGGCAGGGTCGCCTGCCCCCCCTAGGAAACCCCCAGGTAGCTCATGACAGAGTCTCCCACAGCAGCAGTCATTCGAAGGCTTTTAGATGGCAGTGAGCCAAAATAAATCCGCCTCCTTATTTAATTTTCGATCTGCACTCATGGAGCAAGCAAAAGCAACTCTTGAATATTTTGTAAGTTACTGGAAGATACGATCAGATCTAAGTTCAAGGAAGTCAGCTCTGGGCGACGTTCCAGGCAGGAGCTGAAGCCCCCAGGGTGGCGGCTGTGGTCGCTGGACCTACTGGGGGTTAGGAAGCGACCCCTGTTGGGATGATGGGAAAGCTGAAGGTGCCCCGGACACACAGTGCCACCTGTGAACGGGATAGAGAACCCAGGACCCAGGTGGCCGTGGGGATCAACGGGTGCCTTGTCTTGAGCCTGTGAGGTCTGGACATCCACCCCAGATGCCCAGGAAGTGGTTGGCTGCTTGGTGCAGAGACCACGAGGCTGGTTGCAGTTACAGGTCCCATACGACGTGGTGTGGAGGTGGATGGTGGAGGTGGCTGCAGGAGAGAGTGTGACGTGGGAGAGGCTGGGGCTGCAGAGCCTGAGGGAGCGGCGAGCATGGGGTGGGGCAGGGATTTATTTTCGGATTCAGGTATCTCCTCCAGTATCTACTTAGCCATCAGTGCGCCTTTCCTCTCTGGAACGTTCCTCCCACTTCCTCATTTCTCAGTTTGCTGTTAGACATCGGTGCTGGAGGGGCCTTGTCCTATCTCTGTGTGGCTGCCTGGAGCTCGGTGACGGTGACTGATGGTGACGTGGGTGGCCGCCTGGGTTTCAGACATCCCATCCCAGTGTCATCTGAAGCCGGTGTTGTCTCCGGACTTTCACTTGTGCCTCCTTCGTTGTATGATGCAGCCGTCCCCCCACTTAGTCATGGGAAATTCCAGGCGCGGGGAGGTAGGGAGCTGATCGCCTCTCGCCAAATTGTTTTCTTGGCTAGATCTCTCAAGTGCGCTGGCGTGTGTGAGGTTTCACTTTACTATGATTAATAGGATCTGAATCCGAAGGGAGAAAAAAAGAAGTAGGAAAGATGACTATTTCTGCCCAAACTCACATCTGTTTTGAAAATTAGAGGTCGGGAGAGGAGCTCTTTCAAATTTCCATTCTGTGTGTTATAAAAAGATTCCGTTTCCCGTCCCCCTGCACGGTGCTGCCTGTGCGCGGTGCCAAGGGCTGGGGGTGGCAGGGACACAGGTGCCTTTTCTGGGAACATCCGTCTGCGGGAAGCAGGAGTAACGGGAATGGATGAGGGTCACCGGCAATTTTTAATTACTGATTCACTTGGCTTGGGAAGGAAGGTGGGATTGCATGAAATGTTCTCTCCTGATCAATTAAGCCTGACCTTTAGAGCTGGCAGTTTTTAAAGGGTGGGCCGTTGATTGATGAGTGGGATAAAGCCATTACATTTCACTTAAAACTTGAGCAGAATTGTTCCTATCTCCTGGCTTTGACAAGGACAGCGAACTCCATACTGGCAGTTTCACTGTCACTGGTGTTGAGCCGAGAGGGGACTTGGACCACAGAGCATGCGCCCTTGGCTAAGTTTTGAGGAAACTCGGGTCTGTCTCTCCAGAAAGCCACCTGAGCCAGGTGAGCAGCCCGTCCCTTCTCTCCTGGACGAAGTCGTTTGTAAATGCAGCGTCTCTTGGAACATGACATTGAAGGAACAGCAGAGTTCCCTAAAAATCCTGGTTTTGGTGAAGACTACGGTTGGTGGAGCTGAAATCTGCAGGTTATTTTTTATATCGAAGCTGTTTTAATTGCTCTGTGCTCCAACTGCCTCGTTTTCATAGATTCCTGCCTACTCACGGGGAGAATCCGTTTATGGGAAACCTTGAGGGAACTGCAGGCTCCTGGCTTCAGCCTGGCCCAGCCCCAGCCGTCGTGGCCATCTGGGAAGCAAACCAGTAGATGCAAGATTTCTTTCTGTATCTTCTTCTCTCTCTCATTTTCAAATACATAAAACAAATCCTTAAAAAAAAAACAAAAACCACCCGGCCACCGCAGCCCGGCTGCCCCAGGACGGTCCGGCTTGCTGCCGCTGCGGCTGGCTCCCTGTGCTTGCCGGCCTGCCTCGTTGCCTTCTCCAGGGCAGGAGCCGTGTTTCCCTCCACTCTGGTCCCAAGCACGGGGCCTGGCATGCAGAAGTCGTTCAGTAGATTGAGTGGCGTAACGTGTGTGGCAGACGCTCGGAGCCATTTCCGTGTCGGGGATCTCACTTGACCCTCCCAGGTCAGTGTGTGGGGCGGGAAGGGGCCCCCTGGACAGGAGCCTGACGGGGACAACGTCTCCCTTGGGGTTCTCCAGGATTCTGCCCAGTGCTGCGTAGCAGGTCCCTGACTTGCGACTCTGCTTCCTTAGTCCGGAGCCCTCAAGGACTCACGCTGGGTCTCCTGGGGTCGTTCTTCTTGGTCCAGCATCCACTCTGCAAAGCGGAGGGGGGTGGGGGGGGAGGCCACATCACTTTTCTGACCATGGGAGAGCAGACAATATTTTTTCCCTGCTTTCTGCGGAAGACTTAGAGACACATGTGGGCCACTGTGCCCACTTGGACAGGACACGATTAAAGCAGATGGACCGAGCTGCCCTAGACGTGCCAGACGTGACCGTACTGCTTGCTCTCTCATGGCCAAC